AATGAAAAAAACAATTCATAGATATTATCATGAAATAAAGTATTTGTTAAACTATTAAAAAGTCTCGTAAAAAAGAAAACAAACAAAGAAGAAAACAAAACCTGTTGCAGGATGTCTCACCTATGTACAACCCCATTGGACAGGAAGGGCACAGAGGATCCGCCCACAAACACCCAGACTCCCAGGCAGATCCATAAGGTTCGAGCAGGCGTAGCTAAGGAGCGGTGACGGAGCGGCTGAGCAACAGCCAACCAGCGCAGCACGCTCAGCAGAGTGAGGAAGAGGATGCTGAAGGACGGAAGAGGGTTATTTTAGTAAATGTCTGTCGTTTGTTTTAAGTGTGTGTGTGTGTGTTTGTCTACTGGTATAGGTGGTGATGTGAGGTCTTACACATGGACTCATCCTATGTTTGAGGACGTAACGTCCCCATAATGCAAATGTTTGTTTGATGTCACTAAATGATTGTTTTTTACTTTTATTATACTTTATTACTTTTATATATACTCATATTCTGAACATAATGATTTCACACATATTTTGGGGGACTACAAATAAACTTAATTATGCTCCCTAAAGGGATGTGACGATCAGTGAATGTGAACTACCTGGTGTACAGGTTGACGTAGAAGCCAAAGACGCACAGTCGGCACATCCAGTCTGGGAAGAACCACTTCCCTTCATTAAAGTAATAAGCCAATCGCAGCGGGAGGGTCAGGGAGAAGCTGCCGTCTGATATGGCGAGGTTCATCATGATCACACAGGAGGCCGACCTCCTGAGGGGACAAGGAAAAAGATGGATGATTTAAAGTCTCTTAAAGGGACAAAAAAAAGTCATTTTTTGTTTTGTTTTTTGACATTTTCACTTAATTATTGAAGCACTTACAGATGAAGAGCAACCGGAATTGGATTTTAATAAGAAGTTTAGTTTTAGACAACTAGGCTTGTGTTACCTCACAGCTTTGTAGGCCAGTAGATTAACAGAGAACAGGAGAGGGGAAATGAGTAAATCAGCTGTTCGTCTGATGCATTATTTCTAACTTGTCCATCCTGCT